TACACATTTTACTGTTGCGTTAAACAGAGGCTACAGTTAAGGAATTGCGCCCAGTAAATCCTTCCCGGCCAGGATACGAACTCATGACATAGCGCTCGCGGAACGCCAGGCGAGTGTCTTACCACTACACCACGGAGACTGCTCATTATAATCACTAATCACTCCCTTTCCATTTCTTGTCTGTTGCAGTTCATTACCTGCATCACATTTCTGTCTGCCTTGCTTCTGACCTTTGGCTACTTCTGCAAAAGCCCTTCCTGGCTCTTTACCCCACTGGTCTGTCACACCCACTTTTTTTTTTTTTTGCCTTTTCTGTTGAATCCTTTATATTTTTACTATCCTCTAATATTACCTTAATTTAATCCTTTCCTTAAACTTCAACTGATCTTCTTCACCCATGATGTCTACAAAGATTTGTTACTCCTAGCCTACTCCAGTACATTTTGAAATCCCCTATGTTCATTTCCAGTTCATTTATCCACTCTTCCTGTTTTCTATTTCTGTAATTGCCTCTTTCACTGATACTGTCTCCAACTTTGTTCATTGTCTCCACCTCCTTTTCCTCTCCCTCTTTATCCCCTTTTAGCTTGCATGTCTTCTTGACTTCCCTCAGAGTGCCTTCATCTGTTTACTCTCCTTTTTCCTTCTGATCTCAATTTGCATTACAACCTCTCATGTGCAGGCGATGAGTCACAATAACGTGGCTAAAGTATGATGACCAGACCACAACCTCTCATGTTGACTGGTTTAGTTCCCTTCATCTTTATAGCTCTTTACTATGATCCTTCACATCTCCCGCTTCTTTCTTCCCTTTATCTTTAGTTTACCATCATATTTTCATTTCTTTTTTCCATTTTCTTATATTTTCATGTATCTTATTTTAGACTAACCTTGCAGAACACCAGTAAAGACCATCTCCGTTCCCCCAAGGCAGTGACTGAGGCTGTGTGTTGCTCCTCTCTACTTACTGTTCTTTGTCCTTAAATGTGTTGATTTTTCAGTGGTGATTTTCCCACTGTGAAAAGCACTACTGTACTCAAATTTGTATTTTTAATCTTTCGTCTAAAGGTCCTTTTATAATTTTTACTACGTAATATTTTTATATGCATTCATGCGGCTACTTTGCCTCAGCTCATTTTTCTTTTCAGTTTTTTTAATCTTTCAACATTTTAATGTTCAACTATTGCTTAATGTTATTATTTTTTTACTTTGGGAATGATTTCCTCCCCACTAAAAACCTGGGATTGTTGGGTGGGTAGCATCCCTAACTTACCCAGCCTTTCCTTGGGGTCAGGTCTCTATCTCACCCTAGACCACAGGTCACTTTACAGTCACAATTCTGCTTCGTTTTGTAAACGTTTTTAGTTCCTGTCTTTTGGCTAACATTCAGTCCCTTGTATGCACTTCTTCACTGTGACACAGCTTACTTATCCCTCCTAGATCACAGAAACACTGGACCTCCTCAGCCCTCAACCCTCCTAGTGGCAGTTTATGTGGGGTCACTCTGGGAAGATTGCTAGGACCAAAAGCCTCACAAAAGGAAATAAGAGTACTGTATTCAAATACTGTAAAATCTAGTCATTTGTTAATTCACAAGTTCCCTTTTTTTTAATCTTACTAAATCTTATTTTTAGTAGAAGAGTTGGATTTCATATTACCTGACTGACATTTTCCATACATACATAATGCAGATTATAAATAAATAAAACAATCCCTCAGGTCCTCATAGGTGGAACATGTGCCTAGGATGCAGCAAGCAGTCACTCTTGAGAACTTGGTCTCCATAATAAATATTTCAGCTATCTCACTCAAGAACTTGAAGGCAATTTTATCATATGAACCTAATATATTTGAGCCTATTGAAATGAAGTTGTAGCATCATAACCTTCATATTTGCTGATTTTCTGGGACTTATCTGAATAGAGCCATAGTGTTGGTCAAAGTGGAAGTATTGTATGTGTGAAGTCTCACGCTCCCTGCTTACCACCCTTCTAGGACATCATCATGACCCCCATCTTAATGCTTCTCTCTCTCTCTCATATCTATATTTAATGTATGTATGTATTTATGTATGTATGTGCATGTATGTGTGTGTGTGTGTGTGTGTAATTATCTAAGTGTAATTACCTAAGTGTAGTTACAGGATGAGAGCTACGCTCGTGGTGTCCCGTCTACCCAGCACTCTTTGTCATATAACGTTTTGAAACTACTGACGGTTTTGGCCTCCACCACCTTCTCACCTAACTTGTTCCAACCATCTACCACTCTATTTGCGAAACTGAATTTTCTTATATTTCTTCGGCATCTTTGTTTAGTTAGTTTAAATCTATGACTTCTTGTTCTTGAAGTTTCAGGTCTCAGGAAATCTTCCCTATCAATTTTATCAATTCCTGTTACTATTTTGTACGTAGTGATCATATCACCTCTTTTTCTTCTGTCTTCTAGTTTTGGCATATTTAATGCCTCTAACCTCTCCTCGTAACTTTTGCCCTTCAGTTCTGGGAGCCACTTAGTAGCATGTCTTTGCACCTTTTCCAGTTCGTTGATGTGCTTCTTAAGATATGGGTACCACACAACCGCTGCATATTCTAGCTTTGGCCTAACAAAAGGCGTGAACAATTTCTTTAGTACTGTATTTCCCCATCCATGTATTTAACAGCAATTCTGAAGTTAGAAAGCGTAGCATAGGCTCCTCGCACAACGTTCTTTATGTGGTCCTCGGGTGATAGTTTTCTATCTAGAACCACCCCTAGATCCCTTTCTTTGTCAGAATTCGTTAAAGATATCTCACGTAATTTATAGGTTGTGTGGGGCCTATGTTCTCCAATTCCATATTCCATAACATGGCATTTATTCACATTGAATTCCATTTGCCAAGTGGTGCTCCATATACTTATTTTGTCCAGGTCTACTTGAAGGGCACGACAATCATCTAAGTTTCTTATCCTTCCTATTATCTTAGCATCATCAGCAAACATGTTCATATAATTCTGTATACCATCTGGTAGATCATTTATGTATACAATGAACATCATCGGTGCAAGAACTGAACCCTGTGGTACTCCACTCGTGACGTTTCTCCAGTCCGATACAATGCCTCTGATTACTGCCCTCATTTTTCTACCAGTCAGAAAATTTTTCATCCATGTTAGAAGTTTACCAGTCACCCCTCCAATATTTTCCAGTTTTCAGAACAACCTCTTATGTGGAACTCTGTCGAAAGCCTTTTTTAGGTTCAAATAGATGCATCTCTGTGACTCGATCATAGAAACTCAGTAAATTCGAGACAGAGGATCTTCCAGATCGAAAACCATACTGTCTGTTTGATATTATATCATTTCTCTCCAGGTGTTCTACCCATTTAGTTTTATTATTTTTTCCAATATTTTGACTATTACACTTGTCAATGATACAGTTCAATAATTGAGGGGGTCTTCCCTGCTGCCACTTTTGTAGATTGGAACTATGTTAGCCTTTTTCCACACATCAGCTACAACTCCTGTACACAGGGATGCCTGAAAAATCAGTTTAAGTGGAATGCCGAGCTTAGGTGCACATTCTCTCGGAACCCATGGTGAAACTCCATCTGGACCAACTGCTTTGTTCTTACTTAGCTCCTTGAGCATTTTCTAACTTTGTCTCTAGACACCTCTATGTGCCCTATGTTGTTCTCTGGAATTCTTATTGTGTCTGGTTCCCTGAAGATTTCATTTTGTACAAACACACTTTGGAACTTTTTATTTAATGTTTCACACATCTCCTTTTCATTTTCTGTGAATCTATTTCCCATTTTCAACCTCTGAATATTATCCTTTACCTGCAATTTGTTGTTTATGAATTTATAGAATAGACCCGGTTCTGTTTTACATTTGTCTGCAATTCTTTTTTCAAAATTTCTTTCTGCCTCTCTTCTCACTGCCGTGTAGTTGTTTCTCACATTTTTGTATTGTTGGTATGTTTGGTATGTTTCTGTATGTGTGCGTATGTATGTATGTATATGTATATACTGTACAGTAAAACCTCGGCTTACGAATGCCCCTATTTTTTTAATTAATTTTTGGGGATACGAGCTCAATTTCTTCGTAAAATTCAATTCGGTTTACGTGCTTTGCCTCGAGTTGGGAGTTTGTTGATAAACGTATGGGTCGACCGAGTGTGTGGTTCGTGGTGGAATGGGTGACTGCCCCTCAGTTTAACAATCCCTTCCGCGTAGTGACAATCGCGCTTGTATTCTTTGTAACGAATTTATTTTTTCAGATTTTTTGGTTTCTAAACATATAAGTAATTATTATATACCATGCCATGGGTCCCAAGAAAGTCAGTGGTAAGGTTCAACCTATGAAAAAAACATGTGAGGAGGACCATAAAGGAAACAAATCTCTATGGAAAGGTTCTTAGTGAGCCAATTAAGCAGTAAGTCACAATCAGGTCCTAGTGGAACGTAAGCAAAATGTAGGAGAGAGGGAGAATACCCCAGAGAAGTCATCATTGCCTGATGTTATAACGGAAGGGGACTCCCGTTTCAAACACTAACACCTCTCCTCCAATAATTTTCCAAACACTCGCACCTCTCCAAACACTCACACCTCTCCAATAATTTTTGAAGTGTCATTGATCCTGTGAACAGATAAATTTTGTTCACTATTTCCTAATCTAGTTGAAGGACGAATGTTGATTATACCTACCTTGTAGTTAGGAAGGCAAAATGTATCCTCCATGAATGTTGGAGCCAGTAGCATGGATAATTCATAACTATAATAAAAAAAGTGGTACAATGTTGATCATGGAACCATATTAAAACCTAAAATGAGGAGAAGCAAGTGCTAGTGCAGAACACGGTGATGAAAGTTGACAAGCTCCATTAAAAAGATCAGTTCGTTTACAGCAAAACATCTATCATTAGTGGAGGTCCATGTGCACCTCTAGCACTCACTGGCTGCTGTATTTACCGTTTTTTACTAATGAATAACCGAACAAAATGAAGGTAAATCAGATAAGGATCATGCTAAAGCACTCTTAATTTAGATAACTGGAAATTATAATTAATTGATTTAAGGTGAAAAGAACTCCTCTTGTGTCTAGAAAATATTTATAGTCATCAGCAATACTGAATACCTTCTACAATTTTTGTAAACAATTCAATACAAAATATGATGACAAAATATTTTGCTAGCGTGGATATTCAACGTAAACACCTTGATGTGAAGTTGTATGCCAGTTGTAGCATACCTTTTACTTGAGTAATGATATAATAAATATACAAGTTTGATTTCTTTCTATATTCCAAGGAAGGCAGTGTTTGAAAAATTGCAATGCACCCATGTCAAGAACAAAATTGTAATGCACCATGGCACAAACAAAATTGTTATGCACCCATGCCCATGCATGAACAAAATTGTTATGCACCCATGCCCATGCATGAACAAAATTGTTATGCATCCATGCCCATGCATGAACAAAATTGTTATGCACCCATGCCCATGCATGAACAAAATTGTTATGCATCCATACCCATGCATGAACAAAATTGTTATGCATCCTTACCCATACATGTACAAAATTGTTATGCACCTATGCTCATGCATGAATAAAACTGTTATGCACCCATGCCCATGCATGAACAAAATTGTTATGCACCATGGCATGAACAAAATTAAAGAATTTTCTTTTTGTGCAAAACAATATTTGTCTTAAATAGTCTGCAAAATTCATTTGGAGATCACAAAACTATAATTCTACAATAAAAGATAAGTTATAATGCCAATTGAGCTAATTATACTGATGACTGCTTGATGCAAGCATTCACATTTAATTAGTCTGATGGCTTTCTTGTTTTAATAGTTATGTCCTTTAATAATAAAGTATATACAGAACTATGTTTAGGTTGGCATATCAAATGTTTTAGAGAGGTGTTTAGGTACATACAATGTTAGTCTAAAATGAAAATCTTATAAGACTAACAAAACACAGGGAAAAACAGCCATGCGTGTTGACCTGGCTGGATCTAAACTTGCTCTCAACTTCCCAACATTTACTTAACCAACCAGAGCACAACATGAACATGATTTCAGGAGAAAAGAAGAGATTGAATCATACAAACAATAAACGTTGGAAGCCCTGGGAGAGTATTCATCAGCTTAATATTTCATGATATGTATATTTCAGAATATACTTTGAAACGGTGGTAAAGATGATAACGGACTGTATGTATGCATCCCACCAATCCTCAACATTTTGAGCCCAGCATCAGAGGTGGGCTTAGCCAACCACCAGGGCAACTGTAGGCCTCCCCATATTCCTTTGTGCATGTAATTCATTCATTAAAAATATCAAATTTTCTAGACATTTCAAATGATTATACCAATTTACATGTAAAATTTATTTCCTAATATAGGTATTTGTAGTCTAATACTAAGAAAAAGAAAATTAAAGTTTATATAAAAAAACATCAATTTCAAAGCCAACTCAAATGTGTGTAACATATAGGAGTGTGAGTGGGCGTGGGAAGAGGTCAGGATGAGGATTTGGGATAAGACGGGAGCAAGGAAAGGTGCCCAACCAATTGGACGGTCGGGGATTGAACATGAAGCGAGACCATCACTCTACCATCCTGCCCAAGTAGAGGGAATGATGGAGAGGGCAGTACTGGCAGCAAGCCATGTGAAGGGAGGTAGTGAGAGGACTGCTGTATGGGGTAAGATATGGAGGCACGATAACAAGTAACAAGAGGAGAGTGGAGGGGATAAGAGGGAAAATAAGACAGCTAGTGTGGAGAGAAAAAAATAAATACATACATAAATAAATAAATAAATAAATAAATAAAAAGATAAAGTGAATGTCTATGTGCGTATTGAATAGGTCGGGTGTTGCCCATGTTTGGATGTGTGCTTATGTTGTATATTCATGTGCATGTTATTGACTGTGTATGTGGAAATGAGCTACAACTGTTGAACGTCTCCTTAGAGCTATTGATTATTCCTTGGTGGTTGTATGTTTGTTTGTACGCATTCATGTGTGTGTATGCATGGGGTAATCAAGTTATGTCCATGCAATAATGTACATAAATTAAACTTTCCATCTGGAGCCAATAAAACTATTTTAGTTAAACACATGCATCTAGTACACAGTTACAATCTGTAAATATCAGTATCACCACAAGCCACTTGTCTGCTCAAGGATATCCGTCTTAAAAGCCCAAAGATTGTCATTTAGATGTTGTAAAGATGAAAAGGATAATCCATAGTCTGCAGGACATATAAAAGTTTAAAAGAAGTTCATCAAAAACTAACAAAGAATTTGAGAATTGAACCCAAGTGGGCTGAGGCCATATGAGCATTCCTCCACATTATATGAAGGATCAAGGCACACATCAAGGCTCAACTCTCAAGCCAACATAAAGAGAAACTTCCTGGGAGAAATTATCGAGGGGTGTGTGATGGGACAGATCCTGCTTGCCTCAACTCCCCCAGGGATGTTGTATCGACCACCTCAACTCCCCCAGGGATGTTGTATCGACCACCTCAACTCCCCCAGGGATTTTGTATCAACCACCTCAACTCCCCCAGGGATGTTGTATCAACCACCTCAACTCCCCCAGGGATGTTGTATCGACCACCTCAACTCCCCCAGGGATGTTGTATCAACCACCTCAACTCCCCCAGGGATGTTGTATCGACCACCTCAACTCCCCCAGGGATGTTGTATCAACCACCTCAACTCCCCCAGGGATGTTGTATCGACCACCTCAACTCCCCCAGGGATGTTGTATCAACCACCTCAACTCCCCCAGGGATGTTGTATCGACCACCTCAACTCCCCCAGGGATTTTGTATCAACCACCTCAACTCCCCCAGGGATGTTGTATCAACCACCTCAACTCCCCCAGGGATGTTGTATCGACCACCTCAACTCCCCCAGGGATGTTGTATCAACCACCTCAACTCCCCCAGGGATGTTGTATCGACCACCTCAACTCCCCCAGGGATGTTGTATCAACCACCTCAACTCCCCCAGGGATGTTGTATCGACCACCTCAACTCCCCCAGGGATGTTGTATCAACCACCTCAACTCCCCCAGGGATGTTGTATCGACCACCTCAACCCCCCCAGGGATTTTGTATCAACCACCTCAACTCCCCCAGGGATGTTGTATCAACCACCTCAACTCCCCCAGGGATGTTGTATCGACCACCTCAACCCCCCCAGGGATGTTGTATCGACCACCTCAACTCCCCAGGGATGTTGTATCGACCACCTCAACTCCCCCAGGGATGTTGTATCGACCACCTCAACCCCCCCAGGGATGTTGTATCAACCACCTCAACTCCCCCAGGGATGTTGTATCGACCACCTCAACTCCCCCAGGGATGTTGTATCGACCACCTCAACTCCCCCAGGGATGTTGTATCGACCACCTCAACCCCCCCAGGGATGTTGTATCGACCACCTCAACCCCCCCAGGGATGTTGTATCGACCACCTCAACTCTCCAGGGACATGGGTTGGATTACCTCAACTCTCCAGGGACATGGGTTGGATCACCTCAACTCTCCAGGGACATGAGTTGGATCACCTCAACTTTCCAGGGACATGGGTTGGATCACCTCAACTCTCCACGGACATGGGTTGGATCACCTCAACTCTCCAGGGACATGGGTTGGATCACCTCAACTCTCCAGGCACATGGGTTGGATCACCTCAACACTCCAGGGATGCACATTAGATCATCTCAACTTTCCAGGGATGCAGGATGTACCCCATCACACAACCTCAACACTCTCCTATATATACGTCACATTCTTGTGATAGAATTGTGCAGAAACTTCCTTGTTTAGAATGGCAGATGTTTGGTATATATGAACTTGTCCTTCAATGCATGCTTGCTTGTATTTATTACCTTACTAAGAATATGGGTGTGTGTCTGTGCGTATACACACAGATATTATGTACGTATTATTACGTATTACGATGCGTACACAAACACACACTGTGCGTACACACACATCTTATTTCCTCCTTCTCTCTCTCATTCTGTAACTTAGCAGCCTGAAGGTGTCCCTGAGAACTAGAGTTTGTCAAAGGGACTGTGGCAATCCTATATACCATCTAGATTAACTGATAGAAATTTGCTAATGCATAGATAATCAAAAGAAAAATCCTATAGACTCAATCAAAAGTAATAAATTAAACAGAATCATTCATTTTACCAAAGGATGTTCATAAAGCCCACTTTCCAAAATATGTTTTCTTATCAATAAACATTGTGTCAGATATAACCGTGTTACTGCAGCCTGTCTTAAAGTCCAATCTGGGATGTTACCAGCAGTATGTGATGTGAGAGAAGAGATCTGTATGTGTGTGCTCGCAGAAGGCCTCTGCTTCAAATTACAAGAAGGCTTTTCTTATGGCTCGTTTCAATTTAAAGAACTTAAATAAGTCTGACATTAGACATAAGAAATAATAATAATAATCTGTTCTTGAAGCATATTTTAAACTCATTTTTTGTTTACCCAAGAATTGCATGTCTTAATTTGAATGTGAGCAAAGACATGTCTATGCTGTTATCTATTGACACAAATGAATAATATTTCTACACAGTATCAATATACAATTACAGTACAGTACAGTATATATAAAAATCTTATCAAAATTCTCCTGTATTCAAAAATAAATAAAGTGAATTTGAGACTATAACTAGACTCTACTGTTAAGCCTCCACAAAGCAAGAGAAATTAATGTCATGACTTTTCTTTCTGTAATCAACTTACTATAGTACTGGAATATTTCATCTACCCATAAGAAAATAAAAAAATAAAATTTGACACAACTAACTCTTTACAAGGACCATTAGTGAAACTGGTTAGCTTCACAATATTTCAATTATCACAAGGTCTGATTGTGTATGAAATGTTTTGCCCATACTGGGATTTTTGTTTATCAACTTAAGGCTTCCATTGGTTCTGAAGAATCCTGATCAAAATCGTCAATAGTTTGATCATGCTTTCTTTTAAGTTTCCCTTTTTCTTGTGAACACTGACCATTGAGAAGAGTCTGCTGAGCTTTGTAAATTGCTTCATACTCAATCAGCTGTTGTTTAAAACCATCATTTGGATTGATGCAATATCTTCTGTTTTGCACAAATTCTAGTGCCTCTCTGAAATAAGATAAAAAGCTAAGTATTGAAACTTTCCTAATACAAATTAAATGATAAATTCAAGTACTGGTACGTTGCAAACTTTGGAAAGCAGTTTAACAGCTAGATATGGTTCACTTGCACAAATGAAACTAAGATAGATATCCCCAGCCAGAATATCTGATGCAAACTTTTTTCTTCTTCTGTACTTCAATCGTACAAACAGGGTTGTTATTGCTGGTGGTTAGGTGGTGGCAGTGGAGGTTTTGGACTAGGAAGTGTTTACCTTGTAGTGACTACAGGGGAGTGAGAGCTAATTCTTTATTGCCTATCAATTGGCTTTTCTGGGAAGGCTGAATCTGTTCCTCCACTTTTCTGCACTCATTTTTGGCTGGTGGTTTGTATCCTGTTTAAGGGTCTAGGTGGTCTCTCTGCCAGGTGTGTGTGTTTTGTTGTTGTTAGAGGAGGTAAGAATAGTTTTTCAGGATCTGGTCCCCACAGTTTCCTGTCAGGGGAGGTCTTCAATGGCACATACTGTATTCTCCAAAATCACACATTTCAATGTTTTGCTATGAAGGCTGGCCTGAGCTTTTCCTTCTTGGCCTTGTGGCACTTAGACCTTTCTGTTCGTGTCCCAATGCTTTGGGAGGGAATGTTCTTTCGTTGCCCCTTCCAGGTTGGTCTGGAACTGGTGTCTCCTTTGTGGCTCCGTTTGGTCTTCACAGGTGGGTTGGATATTTGGCAATTTGGTTTTCCTTTTGTTCTGGGTTTCCTTCTGTTCCTGTTTCCTTCCCACTTGGGTATCTCCTGGCCTGCAGTCCGTTTTTGTCTTTTTGGGTTGAGTCCCTTTTTTAATTTTCTGCCTTCTTGCTTCAAGGTTTGTTCTTTTGGCCTTTGGCTAGAAGCTCCTTTTGGTCATACTGGTTCCTTTTTTTCTCAGGGTAATCTTGCTTGCCATTTAAGGTTTTCCCCTTGGTTTCTTCTGGCTCCTCGGTCTTTTGATGCAGGGTGTGGTGATTCAACCCATCCTCCGATCACCTCGTACTCCGATCAGTACGGTTTAATACTAAGTGTAATAAGTACACTTCCTTACAGTTATACATAGTACATAACTGCACTTATGGGGCGGTTATATTTACCTCCCATTTATTTTCCTCATTTTCTGTTAAGACACTTAGAATTTTAGGATGAAGTTTTCAAGTTCAATTTGCTGTACACAAGTTTTAAATATCAGGACTTTCTTTTTCAGTTTTATTAAACAATAGAGATTTTATACAAAATTTGAAAATATCCTGAGTTACTTTACAATTTATTGATATATTTTAGTTTTGTTTTATTAGTTTTATAAAACTGTAATATCAATATAGCTATAGGTTAAGTACTAATTGCAATTAGGAAGCAATAAAATGCTTATCTTCAAACACTAAGAAGGTTAGGTTAGGTCGTGGTTTTCTATTCAGCTTTTCAGGAAAACTCAAATATTCACAATATATTTGAGTTTTCAAATATATTGTTAATATTAATATATATATATTAATATTCAAATATATTGTGAATATGTGACCCGCGGCCCGGTCCTCGACCAGGCCTCCATTTTGTTACACATCACCAGGAAGCAGCCTGTAGCAGCTGTCTAACTCCCAGGTACCTATTTACTGCTAGGTGAACAGGAGCATCAGGGTGAAAGAAACATTTTGCCCATTTGTCTCTGCCTCCACTGAGGATCGAACCCGGAACCTCAGGACTACAAATCCGAAGTGCTGTCCACCCAGCTGTCAGGCGTCCCTGTTATGATTTGGGTTTGTGACCAGCAGTACCTTGGCCACTCTGAGTTGTTGGGTGGTCCTTTGTGTCAAACACACAGCACAGTGTGTATGTTCATGGCAGTTTGGCACACTCTGAGGTTCCTTTATCTTTTGGTAGGCTCTGTGGTCTTGCTCCTCTTGGACTGCTCCCTGATGATTCATCATCGGAATCATGGATGCTGCTTTGGTTTTCTCCTCTTGGGCCAAACTCCTCTTCTTGATTCTCGGGCTTTGGCTCACCATGCTGTTTGTTTGGGGCATGTCCTGGCAGATAGTCTCTCATCTCCATTCCTTTACCATGGAGTGGACTGTCCCTGACATGTCCTTCCATTGGCTTTGTGGGATGTTTGAAGGCCCTGTGGTGGGCCTCTTCAAGTCAGTGTGGAGCTGGTGGATTCTGGTTTCTGTGGCCTTATTCATAAGATGTGAAGCTCTTGCGATAGCTGCCTTTCGGCTGGACTCGGGTCGGTGAGAATTTATTTTTATTTTCCTTCCAGTTCAGTTGTTGCTTCAGGTTTTTACAAACTAGAACCTTTCTGGTGGGTTTCACCAGTTGCCTCCTATTTGGTGAGCCTAGCCATGGATTTTCAGTCCTTGGGGTCTGTTATTTGAACCCGTGTCTTTTTCCACAGCTTTGCCTCTTTGACGGTTTGAACCGGAGAAGTTCCTTGTCTCTTTCAGTTCCTCCATGTTTGTAGTTTCTGAATCTAGTGTACCACTCATTGTACAGTCAACAGGTAGTTCCTCTTTTTGTCTCACCTGTGGCTTTCATCCTTGTGACAGTGTATGGCTGCCTGGCTCTCCTTCCTTCCTTTTTGTCTCTGTCACGTGTCCTCGATTTCTGTTTTAGTTTTAGTGGTTTGTGGGTCGGCTTTTCTTGCCAAGTACTGTTACCTCGTTTTGCTTGGCATAGGTGGAGCTGCTATCATTGGCATTTGGTGTCGATATTTCTTTGGTGCCGTTTCACTTTTTGTCTTGATTTTTTTTTCACTTCTGGCCTGCTCACACTCCTCATGAGTCTTCTTGGTCATGGTGGTTGTTTTCTTGTTTGCAGCCTTCTCTTTCTTTTCTCATTGTGCATGGGCTGGCTGGTCTTCTGAGAATTCCTTTGGCCACTGATGCTTGCATTGTTCAGCTGGGGGTATACCCATTTGTGTGTCTGGTTGCAGCTGTTTACCATTCCATCCTCGTTCCTAGTGAAGGATGGAATGGAGTGACTCATCTCTCACAGACTCCGTTGTGTGCCTAGTGTCCCCTGGTTCCTTGTTCCAGGGCCAGTTTTTCTCTGGTATGCCAATGTGCTTTTCCCCACAGGTCCGTGATTTTCATTGATTTGCAACTCTGTGGTGTTTACAAACATGTCTTGGACACTTTCTCAGGCTTGATGGTTTTGGTGGTCACTGAGAGTTCTGCCAGATCATTACTTTGTGAAATTCTTGGGTCATGCTGGGCATTTGTAGTATTGGGAGCGGATATCTAGTTGCTATTTCCCCCTTCCTTACGTCTCTGTTTCTCCTTCACCACTGGTGAGTATCACTTTTGTTTCATTCTCTGTGGTGACATAGCAGCATAGGAGGCTTCCCAGAAAAGCAGTGTTGAATGTAATGAAACATGTCTTTCTAGTGGGTCTTTGGTGGCTCCTTGGAAACTCCCTTTCTTTTAGAGGGGCTTCAGTTTTGTCTTCCTGGTTAAATGACTGAGTCCGTCTAGTTGAGGGATCGACAAGCTGAAAAGGGGAAAACCCCCGAAAAGGAGGATCGAAGGAGCCACCAAAGATCCATCAGAAAGAGACATTTCGTAATATTCAATGCAGATAACGAGGCACAATAGTGTGGCTGAAGATATGATGGTCAAACCTTACATCAGAAAATGAAAAAACAATGACGTTTCGGTCCTTCCTGTACTATTCTCAAGTCGTGTGATAGAACAGAGGGGGAGGGAGGGACAAGCAAAATAAGAAGGTAAGGGAGTGAGATGAGAGGTGAGGAGCAGGTAAGAATAAGATGAAAGGTAAGAATAGGATGAAGGTAAGAATAAGAAAAGGGTAAGAATAACAGAAATGGGCAAAGCTTAAGTCAAATTACATTTGTTAAGAAGGTTATAGCATTTGAGCATGTACTGTGAAAGGGAAGAGTCAACAGCAACAAAGCCAGGACAAAGGTTCATGTTGGGCATATTGTGTATCAAAACTGACTTGACAAGATGGCATCTGTGAAGAGTAGAGGCACGAAAGATTATTTTAGAAGAGGACCAATCAAAAGGATGATTAGTCCCCTACCATGACAGGAGAGAGCACTGTTTATGACTGCAGATTTAACTCTTCTTTTTCGTTCCTTAAGTCTGTCATTCCATGTATGGCCAGTTTCACCAAAGTATTGGAGAGGACAAGATGAACAGGAAATAGACACCAGCAGCATTAGAAGCAGGAGCAGCAGTGTGAACCATATTACTATGAAGTGTGTTAGTTTGTTGAAAGGCAAGTTTTACATCAGAAGACAAAAAAAAAGATTACCAAGACAAGACTTGGTACAGGAAAAAAAGTACCAAGACAAGGAGTGAGAGTTTTGGCAAGCCAGGAGATAAGAGGATAACCAACAGAGCCCTTTGAAGAAATGATAGGACGAAGAGGAACACCAGATTTGTGAGTTTTAGGTAGACCATAGAAATAAGGAAGAGAAGGGCAGATGACAAACGTTTTACGAGATCAAAGTCGGGAGGACAGAGACTAGGGAGCTGTCCAAGTTTATGAATAAGAAGTTTTAAGGAGATCCAAAGGGTTAGAAATCAGAGGAGCATGCATATTTTAGAGAGGCAGAGAGCAAGACTTCTGGAGGTAGTCCACACAGTCAACGACAACCATCGAATTGCCTTTGTCTGAAGGAAGGATAACAATAGAGTTGTTAGTTTTCAGGGAAGCGAGGGCAAGCTGGAAGCAACGAGGAAGGTGGTAATTTTTAGATAACAAACTGTCAAGAGCAGGGGTTAGAGTCTCTCTAAAGTACCTGTGCATTTTTTAATTTCTTGGCATATTTCTTTATATTTCTATGACTTGTGTTTCCAGCTCCAATTCATGTCCTCTCATCCCCTTAACATATGTACTGACTTCATTGCAAATCTTCTTAATTTTTCCAAGTTCCTTTTTTGTGCTTCAAGAGGTGTGGATTCCAGAGAGGTACTGCGTACTGTGGTACATGCACTGATTACCCACAGGTTGGGTAAACTGTCTTGAACAAGTCCTTGTTTAAATTCCTAAATGCCTTTCTTATGTTTACCAACTTTAAATATGAAGCAGATGTTATCCTGCTGTTAGAAACTTCTGATGTTGGTGTTAGCGCTTACTTCTCAGTGTCTAAACAGAGTAAGATCTGGTTCTACGGGGACCGGCCTCTTAGCTATATGAGGACCATTTTAATTTTTTGTTGCTTTATTTCTTTTGTCACATTTGCACATTAAGCTGTGGATGGAGGTGGCTTCCACTACTTCCTTCAATGCATTTCACTCACTGACCACCCTCACAAGATGTTTACTTGTAATCACAAGATTACAAATATTTTCCAACATATCTCTTGCACATTGTGAACTAGTTTAGTGTTTATTCTAAATGATGAAAGTGTGACCTAGTATGAAATAAATGATGAAAGTGTGACCTAGTATGAAATAAATGATGAAAGTGTGACCTAGTATGAAATAAATGATGAAAGTGTGACCTAGTATGAAATAATTGATGAAAGTGTGACCTAGTATGAAATAAATGATGAAAGTGTGACCTAGTATGAAATAAATGATGAAAGTGTGACCTAGTTCACAAAGTACGGAACAGGTACCAGTAGTATTGGTATAAGTCACTATTCAGACTGGAGTATGTAACTGTACTCTGCTTAAACATGCTGCTCTCATCACAGCTCTCACAACCAGAATTTTGAATATCACTTGATATTTTAAAAGCCTTTTGTAAGTTTCTTAAATTTAATGACTACAGCACTATATAAAGGCAAAAACATCCTAGATTTCTACATTATTACTTGACAAAGGCATCATAATTCAGTGGCAGAGTGGGATATAAGATGATAAATAACTTGATTATATTTGACTTACTTATAGGTTAAAGCTCTCTTTTCCATGACGTATGCGACTACAATTGCTGCACTGCGGGAAATTCCAAGGTTGCCATGAACAAGACATTTTCCTCCTGATGCCAGGCACTCATCAATGAACCTCCGACATTCTGATACATGAGATATGAGGTTCTGAGTCAGGTTGTCGGCCATGTCTAATATCAAGTACCTTTAAAAAATAAAAACAAATTTCAACTTAAGTGAAATGTAATATTACATTAATATATATAAATGCTAGTAATACAGTATACTGTATTCAGCAATTAGAGCATGATTATACAATTTATATCAATTATATATACTTATCAACCCTGTAACCCATCCTCCACCTTAGACAGTGCTGTGCTATCCCTGATATTAGTAAGTCAGTACTGTATTTGACATGCATCTGGCAACCGACTGACGGGACAATGTAATAATGACAGCTTTCACAAGTATAGATTAATTGAATTATATACTGGAGGTTTCATGCATACCGTAGTCAGGTCTATAAAAGGTGGTGTGTTTTTGTTATACTGATTTAATGAGAATTAATAAAACTGGCTGGAAGAGAATGCAGCACATCTCGAGTCCCAGCTTAGAATAATCAGAGTGACACTTTACACAGCACGTGAACCTACTGCCTAATTGGAAAGAAGCCTGAAGAAAGCAGTGAGTGTTCATAAATGAATGCTAATTCCAACTATAATGTATGAATGCCAAAATTTAGTTTCTTCAGTAATGATATTTAGGTTGTTCATCAAGTTATGCATCATAGGGAATCATTTATTTGATTTTTTTATTTATTTCAGGAAACATAAATTACAGAAATTTTTTTTCCTATGATGCACAACTTTTTTGGGAGACAGTCTCACACTAAAAACATTATTATTAACATTCTTTGTATAAAGCAACATCTCGCCTTCTAGCTAAGCCTTGTAACACCAGTTTTGTTACAGTTCATTATTATAAATGGTAAATACAAATAGAGTACTTACTTAATCTTGTCAGGAAAATTAGCCCGAACCATGTGCGACTCTATACTCTGTCTGATGCATATAATGTGTGTGATTCCATGATTCAGAAGTGTATTGAACTGAAAAAAAAAGTTTATTAATTTGAATAAAATTTGCAATTAATTAAACCCTCAAACTCAGCTGCAACTATGTTTTTAATATTTACAAAACATTAAGATTAAACAAGAGAACAATGAACCATACAGAACATTCAAATAGACATTACCGAATGGAACCGAGATTCAAACTCATTGATGAAATACTTAATGGGGAATTTAGACTCGGAAATTGCAATTGCTGTACAATGTAGGTACAGTACACATTCTACACTGAGTTAAATAATAACAGGGAAAGTTGGTAAGGAGCATGAACTAGCAAAAAATTCTGATGACAACTGGTGAGTATGGAACACCAATTTAAAGACATTTATATACTGTATAAAAAACCAGCGTTCAATGTAATGAAACACCATTTTCTGGATGAGTCCCGGAGGCTCCTTGGAGCTATCCGTTCTGATATGAATGTATTAGACCCTGACATCAAAGATGACTCCCCCCCCCCTCCCTGGGAGGGGGAAGGGGGGGAGCCCTAGACTCCCCCAGAGCCCCATGACCTGGTCGATGGTAGACATAGAATGCTTCCAACCACACTGGCGTTTCTATAAGCCATTGATCCTCGTGCCTCTCTGAAGGGGCCAGGTTCTGGCTCATGGTCCCCAGTAAGCCTTAGAACTCCCTTCACTTTGATGCCAGGGTCTAACACTGTACATTCATATCAACCTGGATAGCTCCGGGAAGTCGAATGAGCTCCACCCCAGAAAAAATTCTTATAGAAGACGCAGCTGCTGCCCAGTTATGAAGATAATAAGTAGTGCTAACATGATGCTTTCTGTTGTCAAATCCCACAAGATTATAATAACAGAAGCAGCAAGGAAGGAAGGGGCTAAAGTAACAGCTGCTACAGCCCTCGCAAGTCAACCCTGACAGAAAGTGATCACCTAGATGAAAGTCTGCCCAAGGCTACACACTAGCAGCACAGGCAGGCAACCTTCGGGAAACACTATGAGGTAAATGTATGTATGGACCAAACAAAACACTAGATGCTGCTGTCAGGTAATGTCATTGCTGAAAAGAATGACTTTAGTGTGGCCAAATTCTGGATATAATGAGGGCTGCCTCATTTTGACCATTGTTAAGTAATTTGGAAATACAGTATATACTATATTGCATGATACCATTGTGTAAAGATTAATATAACAAAGAGCTCTACAAAGAATGCTGAAGGGTACATAAACACCAGTGCAGACACACCAATGAACATACATGGTGAACCAAAAATACACGAGAATGCCCAAACTACTATCAGACCTCTCCTAAAATTCCTAGCTCCATTTTCTGATTGGGATGACGAGACACAAAGGCACCCCCCCCCTTCAAAAGCAAATAAACCCAAGAAGATAAAGCAGCTAAGAATGCAAAATGATTGGGTTCAGGGAGTCTTTGGTGGAGTTGGTGCTGCCACCTGGTGGTAGTCAGTGGTAGTGACTTTGTGGACCACTCTGTAAATAGGACACTGCTACCTAAATAGGCCAAATACAATATCATCTGCATAGCAACAGTCTAAACTGGCACAGTCACTTTGAAAAGTTCTTCATTGCACATTGACCTGCCTTCAGTGAACTTGGTCCTAACTAGGGGTCAGTAGAACCTTGCCTGTGGCAGCAACTTATTGGAATAGCTCTGAAATTAAGGCAAAAATCATAAAATATTTATCTAACAGGGATAACAAATACTATACATATTTAAAAGAAAAACACTACACTGAAAAAGATATACAGTATGATATTTTGAGGAACCTTACCCTGGATTTAGTTGCTGCACTATAGGGGCCAAGAAAAAGTCCTGGAAGAATCTCCTGCATTTCCCGTCTCATGTGATACAGCCAGTCTACTTCCATAGTCACTATTTACTACCACCTTGTAATTTTCTCTGAAAATATAGAAGAAACCAGCGTTGAATGTAATGAAACACCGTTATCTGGGTGAGACCTGGAGGCTCCCCAGAGCTATCTAGGCTGATATGGATATACATCTACAGTATTAGACTTTGACATCAGTCAATGTGAATGGGGTTCTAGGGGGCCATCCAGGCCATTTATAGTGGATAGCCCCCTCCTCATGCCTTTCCGAGGGGGCCAGGTTCTGGCTTGTGGTCCCCTCAGTAGACTTAGAACTCCATTCACAGTGACTGATGCCAAATTCTAATATATTCATATCAGCCTGGATAGCTCCGGGGAGCCAAAGGGGTCCCCCCCCCAGAAAATTTGGCCAACCTCTTTTTTTTCCATTTATTAAGGTATATGTACTACAGTATACTGTATTCCCATGTATTAATAAGTGAGAGTGAGAAAGCAATCGAGTGTGTGTTTAAACAAATTAAATAAACTCCCTCCATAGTGATCTCTTCCAGCACAAACAGCTAAATCCTGTTGCACAGTGTGTGCAGAGACATACAGTATGTCTGTAATTACCTAAGTGTAGTTATAGGATAAGAGCTGTTTGTGGTGGCCTTTCTTCCAAGTAGTCTTTGTCATATGTCACTCTGAAACTGCTGACAGTTTTGGGCTCCATCACCTTCTCACTTAACTTGTTCCGTTTACCACTCTTGTTTGCAAAAGTCTACTTTCTAATGTTTTTTCGGTTGCTTGTGCATGATGTGTGAATAGCTGTATGTGTACTTGCACAATACTGGATGCTCATGTTGAATGTAAAATAATCTAAAAATAATAAATGAATGAATGTATGTGTATATTCACCTAGTTGTGCTTGCGGGGGTTGAGCTCTGCTCTTTCAGCCCGCCTCTCAACTGTCAATCAACTGTTACTAACTACTATTTCCCCCCCCCCTCACACACACACACACACACACACACAAAATCAATAGAGAGAGGGGGAGTGAAGAATAAGGAGAGGGGGAACAAGTTCCTGAAGATTGCATACACCAACATAGATGGAGTGAGATCGAAGATACTGGAGTTAAGTGATGTAATACAGCTGCAGACACCAGACATTGTTGCACTCACGGAGACAAAACTTGAAGAGGTAATTTTAAATGAGGTCATATTCCCAAGGGGCTACTCAATTTGGAGACGGGACAGAAAAATTAGGAAAGGCGGTGGCGTTGCTGTGCTGGTAAAAGAACACCTAAAGGTGAAGGAAATAATGACTGCCAATCCACAAGAAGTTGACATAATAGCACTAGAGATCTGCTATGAGGATGATAAACTAATGATGATAAATGCATATAGTCCACCGCCAAGCAGCACATGGTCAAAGGAGGAGCTAGATAGTAAACGTGAAGGTCTTATAACAATAATGAGAGAGATTATAGCGAGAGCGGATAACGATAGATCACGACTGTTGATAGTCGGTGACTTCAACTTGAAATCCATAGACTGGGAAGCATATGAAGCTAAAACAGAAGATTTTTGGACCTGTAAATTTGTAGACCTCATCCTGGAAACATTCTTGTATCAACATGTTAAACAAGCTACGAGGATGAGGGAAGGGGACGTTCCCTCCATGCTAGATTTGATATTTACCAGGAAGGAGGAAGAGATATTTGACATTCAGTACCTTCCTCCCTTGGGTAAAAGTGACCATGTCTTTTTGGGAATAAAGTATGCAATGCGTTATAAGCTGGAAGAAAATAAGGAGGTTGAAGCAGTTGAAAAACCAGACTTCAGGAGAGGACATTATGGTGACCTTAGAAATTTTTTTAGTGAGTATAATTGGACAGACTTGATGCTAGGCAAGGAAGTGAATGAGATGTATGGCAAGTTTTGTGAAATATATGATAAAGGCACAAAAAAATTTATACCAAAACAGAGATGCAGAACTAGGAAACAGGATTGGTTCAATAGAAATTGCGAGAGGGCTAGAGACCGAAAGACACAAAAATGGAATCAATACAGGAAGAGGCCGAACCCCCAAACATACCAGCGATACAAAGATGCGAGAAACAACTACACGGCAGTGAGGAGAGAGGCAGAAAGAAATTTTGAAAAAGGGATTGCGGACAAATGTAAAACAGAACCAGGTCTATTCTATAAATTCATAAACAACAAATTGCAGGTAAAGGATAATATTCAGAGGTTGAAAATGGGAAATAGATTCACGGAAGATGAAAAGGAAATGTGTGAAACACTAAACGAAAAGTTCCAAAGTGTGTTTGTACAAAATGAAATCTTTAGGGAACCAGATACAATAAGAATTCCAGAGAACAACATAGAACACATAGAGGTGTCTAGAGACGAAGTGGAAAAAATGCTCAAGGAGCTCGGTAAGAACAAAGCAGCTGGCCCAGATGGCGTTTCACCATGGGTTCTGAGAGAATGTGCATCTGAGCTCAGCATTCCACTTCACCTGATCTTTCAGGCATCCCTGTGTACAGGAATCGTAGCAGACGGGTGGAAACAGGCTAACATAGTTCCAATCTACAAAAGTGGCAGCAGGGAAGACCCCCTCAATTATAGACCTGTATCATTAACAAGTGTAATAGTGAAAGTATTGGAAAAACTAATCAAAACTAAATGGGTAGAACACCTAGAGAGAAATGATATAATATCAGACAGACAGTATGGTTTTCGATCTGGAAGATCCTGTGTATCGAATTTACTCAGTTTCTATGATCGAGCCACAGAGATATTACAGGAAAGAGATGGTTGGGTTGACTGCATCTATCTGGACCTAAAAAAGGCTTTCGACAGAGTTCCACATAAGAGGTTGTTCTGGAAACTGGAAAATATTGGAGGGGTGACAGGTAAGCTTCTATCATGGATGAAAAATTTTCTGACTGATAGAAAAATGAGGGCAGTAATCAGAGGCAATGTATCAGAATGGAGAAATGTCACAAGTGGAGTACCACAGGGTTCAGTTCTTGCACCAGTGATGTTTATTGTGTACATAAATGATCTACCAGTTGGTATACAGAATTATATGAACATGTTTGCTGATGATGCTAAGATAATAGGAAGGATAAGAAATTTAGATGACTGTCATGCCCTTCAAAAAGACCTGGACAAAATAAGTATATGGAGCACCACTTGGCAAATGGAATTTAATGTTAATAAATGTCATGTTATGGAATGTGGAATAGGAGAACATAGACCCCACACAACCTATATATTATGTGAGAAATCTTTAAAGAATTCTGATAAAGAAAGAGATCTAGGAGTGGTTCTAGATAGAAAACTATCACCTGAGGACCACATAAAGAATATTGTGCAAGGAGCCTATGCTATGCTTTCTAACTTCAGAATTGCATTTAAATACATGGATGGCGATATACTAAAGAAATTGTTCATGACTTTTGTTAGGCCAAAGCTAGAATATGCAGCTGTTGTGTGGTGCCCATATCTTAAGAAGCACATCAACAAACTGGAAAAGGTGCAAAGACATGCTACTAAGTGGCTCCCAGAACTGAAGGGCAAGAGCTACGAGGAGAGGTTAGAAGCATTAAATATGCCAAAACTAGAAGACAGAAGAAAAAGAGGTGATATGATCACTACATACAAAATAGTAACAGGAATTGACAAAATCGACAGGGAAGACTTCCTGAGACCTGGAACTTCAAGAACAAGAGGTCATAGATTTAAACTAGCTAAACACAGATGCCGAAGAAATATAAGAAAATTCACCTTCGCAAATAGAGTGGTAGACGGTTGGAACAAGTTAAGTGAGAAGGTGGTGGAGGCCAAGACCGTCAGTAGTTTCAAAGCGTTATATGACAAAGAGTGCTGGGAAGACGGGACACCACGAGCGTAGCTCTCATCCTGTAACTACACTTAGGTAATTACACTTAGGTAATTACACACACACACAGTTGCAGTTGCTGGTCTCACTCCACAACCGCCTAACCGGAGAGTCATGTGCATCCTGCACATACATACAGTAAGCAAATATTTTTATGTGAGAAATCTTTAAAGAATTCTGATAAAGAAAGAGATCTAGGAGTGGTTCTAGATAGAAAACTATCACCTGAGGACCACATAAAGAATATTGTGCAAGGAGCCTATGCTATGCTTTCTAACTTCAGAATTGCATTTAAATACATGGATGGCGATATACTAAAGAAATTGTTCATGACTTTTGTTAGGCCAAAGCTAGAATATGCAGCTGTTGTGTGGTGCCCATATCTTAAGAAGCACATCAACAAACTGGAAAAGGTGCAAAGACATGCTACTAAGTGGCTCCCAGAACTGAAGGGCAAGAGCTACGAGGAGAGGTTAGAAGCATTAAATATGCCAAAACTAGAAGACAGAAGAAAAAGAGGTGATATGATCACTACATACAAAATAGTAACAGGAATTGATAAAATCGACAGGGAAGACTTCCTGAGACCTGGAATTTCAAGAACAAGAGGTCATAGATTTAAACTAGCTAAACACAGATGCCGAAGAAATATAAGAAAATTCACCTTCGCAAATAGAGTGGTAGACGGTTGGAACAAGTTAAGTGAGAAGGTGGTGGAGGCCAAGACCGTCAGTAGTTTCAAAGCGTTATATGACAAAGAGTGCTGGGAAGACGGGACACCACGAGCGTAGCTCTCATCCTGTAACTACACTTAGGTAATTACACATATCTTAAGAAGCACATCAACAAACTGGAAAAGGTGCAAAGACATGCTACTAAGTGGCTCCCAGAACTGAAGGGCAAGAGCTACGAGGAGAGGTTGGAAGCATTAAACATGCCAAAACTAGAAGACAGAAGAAAAAGAGGTGATATGATCACTACATACAAAATAGTAACGGGAATTGATAAAATCGACAGGGAAGATTTCCTGAGACCTGGCACTTCAAGAACAAGAGGTCATAGATTTAAACTAGCTAAACACAGATGCCGAAGAAATATAAGAAAATTCACCTTCGCAAATAGAGTGGTAGACGGTTGGAACAAGTTAAGTGAGAAGGTGGTGGAGGCCAAGACCGTC